AATACTTCGAGGAACTGCTGTATAGGCCAGCTCCATTGAATCCACCGGACATCAAAGCAGCACAAACTGTCCTTCCTATGTCTGCCACTCAACCGACGATCGAAGAAGTCAAGATGGCCATCAGACAAATCAAAAGTGGGAAGGCGGCAGGACCTGACAATATACCAGCAGAAGCACTGAAGTCAGACATTGAAATAACTGAAAACATGCTTCACCTTCTATTCAAGAAGATTTGGGAAGAGGAAGAAGTGCTAATGGACTGGAAAAAAGGATATCTCATCAAGATACCAAAGAAAGGAGATCTGAGCCTATGTGAGAACTACAGAGGTATCAGTTTGTTATCAGTACCAGGAAAAGTTTTCAACAGAGTGCTGCTGAATCGGATGAAAGATGCAGTAGACGGCGAACTTAGGGATCAACAGGCTGGATTCCGTAAGGATCTGTCGTGCACAGACCAGATTGCGACACTACGGAACATCGTTGAACAATCAGTTGAGTGGAACTCATCACTATACATCAACTTCATTGACTATGAGAAGGCGTTTGACAGTGTGGACAGGAGAACATCATGGAAACACTATGGAGTTCCTGAAAAGATTGTCAACATGGAACTATTCTACGTTTACCAGGAGAATTTTTCGCTACAAGTAAATGCGGTCGGAGTGATGTAGCCAACTACATGAAACGTCTGAAGAAGCATATGAACGATCTAAAAATAACACTTCACAGACCACAATAAAGGCTATTGTTCATTTCACAGAAACTACAAATCGAACTCACGTACTCATCAGATGAGGTAATGTACAACCACTTTTGCAAGCGAATTATTACGGTTCGTTCAAAGTGATTGTGAGGACAGATTAGACAGTTGCCGTAGAAAAAGCTGGAAACACATAGGTAATCAGCATCGATCTAGTGAAACCAGCTTTCATTGATAGCGATCATCAATCGACAAGTACAGACCCCTCAAGAACGGTCACACCAACGTAACATGAGTCTCGAGAATCAACGACGCTAAGGAAACAAAAAGAAGAGACTGCGGTAACGATGAGGTTCAGCCTGTAGGGTAAGATCGCCACAACGCTAAGTGGCTACAATTTTAAACTGATACATGCTCATTATTTTGCATGTTAATTGCAAATTTCCCCCTTCATTGTGTACATACAGAGTATTAGGCTCATGTGATACACAGTAAAACGTGGTACATCTTCTATATCTATACGCATACATGTATGTTGTTTTTCAAAATGATACCGTATCCCTCTTATTTCTCACAGTATTTTGCATAACCTCACGGACGAGCACAAACCAGAAACACAGCAAATCATAACAGAAACATTTGCTTAGTTCTAATTTTTTATAACCCAATATCTTCAAACGATTGTGATTATTCTACTCACGTAACCATTCTATATGCAAACACACATTTGTTCATATAATTTGTTTTCAGGGGGAGTTATTATAGCAACTATCTTACAAACAATTACGATTATGGTCAAATTTGGTTAAGCCCGTTTATTAACTTACTTAAGAGACAATGTTATTCGAACGGCAACAATTCTCATGTTTCTTTGCACTGTTATGGTCACCACCATATCTGTATGAACGTGTACTCTGGATCACATGACAGACTCTAGCCAAAATGTCCATAGCTTAAATAACGCTGGATGATTCATTCTCTTCCCCATGTATATATGTATGTGAATCTTAATTTCAGCCTTTACTTCGCCTTACTGGGAGCCCATTCGATTTGACCATAAATTTGCCCCTGTATTTGCTCGCATTCACACACTCACCTCTCTGCTTCGAATTCGATTGATGTGCTTATAACTTTATTGTTGTCTGTGCTATCCACCAAAAAACTGTAGTTGACGCTTCTAATTGCTTCTGATATCAAACACCGTGGGATTTATATAATAACGATTACAAAGGTGATTGATTATCGAAGCAAAGCAACTGCAATTGATGAGAAACCCCAAGGACATAATGAATATGGTCACAATTTGATTTTTTGGGCAATATAATAGTTATTGCGGACAAACTAATGGATGAACATCATATAAGTAGATATAGAGTATAGTGAAACTACCTTTACATATAAAAAAGAAGAGATATTTCTATGGTGAGCGAACTCGCGAAAAGATTTACACACACACGGGTACATACATACAGGAAGACTCCTACAACACACAATAGTCTGGAGTTTTAAAATACCACGCATTACGTTTCTTTTCCTTTAAGGAGTGGCCTCCGGGATGCGTTAATTTACTCGGTTGTTGGTGACACTGGAGTTGTATTGAACTCTAACCACAATCCTCAAAGCTGAACATGAAATAACTGGGAAAATAAACTTTCATAATGTAACACTAAGGAATAGTCAATAATGATGACGCAGTAACATTCATTCGAAATTCAATTCATCGAATGACATGCCTTGGCCTTGCAGGTGTGGTCACACTTATGTAACATCACTTTTATTCATCCTAAATATATTGTTATATCTCCAACCTAAATGTGTTCTCCATCATATGTTGGTGATTGTTACGAACGATGAATCAGTGTAGATAATGATAAGACTTCCATGTAAGGTCACATAGATTAGGCAGTTACATCATGACAAATCTATAATCTTAGGATTAGGTCTATTATTAGAGCAGTACTAATAACGAAGTAGACCATAACTCTACATATAGTCCACTAAGCAGTCATAACGCCGTGCATTTACTAATGTAAGACAAACTTAACCTCAACATCATATCATCGCAGCAGTCTTCAATCGGCGAGTCCAGCAGACAACAATGGTATATTAGTCGTGTTGCTCATTCCGACTTTGACATTTGAGTCTCCCATCAAGATGGTCATGTCCTTTCCTGGGCGCTTCCCTATGATCGACTGAAGCCCCCATAAAATTGACCTTTGTTGTCTTCCCTGCTATCATTGGTGGATGCATGACACTGGATAACGTTAGTTGTGATTCCTTCCTTCTTTATTTTGAAAGAAGTTCTGATGATTTTTGATCCATGAAATTCTCGTTCAATGAGTGATTTTCCTTTTACTTCGGAAAACATTAGGGCAACTCTGCGTGTGCGAAGCATTCTATTCTTCGTGACCAGAGTTCACTAGAATCTCTCCCGAATCTAACCTTTTCTGTCCAGCCTAGGTACAGTGGGTTTTCAAGAACCCTTAAGTTTTATCTCTTGCTTTCTGTAGCTATTTGATTAGTCCTTCCATGCAATTACATTAATTGTTGCTGTGGTTGTCAGGAGGGGCATCGGGCTCATGACTTCCGAAGAATCACGTCTTTAATTATGAGGTATCATAGATCCTTCGACTCTCAAGACAGAGTTCAGATTGTTTATTCTAGTTAATGTTTTGTTTTCCTATGCCCAACCCTCTTCCTTCACCCAGGTTTGGGATTGACGGTAACCTAGAAGTACTACAGGCGGAGTTATATCCTGTTCACTTTGTAAATATTCTGTCGACTTATCCAGTTTATGATGACGTGAATATAAAATATCGGGCGCAAAGGTATTTGGCTAGCGTTTTTTCGTCAAAGTTCTCTTCTACGGGATGGGATTGCTAATCCCCTGCCCAACCTTCTTCTTTCTGGGCTTTGGACCGATAGCAACACTACAGGGGCTCCAGGTGGAGTTACGAAAGTACTTGAGGAGCATATATTTCGGACATACGGTATTGTAAACAAATGATGGGAGAAGTGGAAGCCGACTGGAGCTGTATAAATAGCCAACTTGATTTTGCGAAGCTCTACTCGCTATTTGTAGTTAGAAAAGAGAAGTAAGCCCAAGACGCGACGAGTAATGGAATGAACACGATCGTATAAACACATTAAATGTTGTAGGAGAACAATGGATCTAGTTTAAGTTAATGTGGATAACGACTCAAAAAGAGGGAAATATTCGGTCTGCTCAAGGTCCAGAATAACCTGTTTAGGTGTGAAAGTACCTGTGTAGTGAACAGAACACTGGTTAGGGACAATCGAATGTATTTAAGCAAAGATTACAGACTATCTCAGTAAATGCTGATAACCAAACAATGAACAGTTAATTTGCAAATTAACAATTGTTTCAATCTGCACTGTTTTTTCTCTAATTCCATTGCTCATGCATTTTCCAAACGATTGCGCTTCATTTCAGTTCTTTCCTCATCGGTTTTCTGCGAAAATACATTTTATGTCTGACCCACACCATATACTACTTATATGGATATAAGTAGACCACACCACACCTGAAGCCACAGGGTTTTTACAATGACTCCTGGCGTCCATCGAAATTGGCACCAATAGCTCTTGAAATAGTAAACATATGATAAAACCAGTGACACTAAAAGAATATGAAAACAGTTTGCTCCCGGAAAGTTTGTTGGGACTTAATAATTTCACCATTCACAACAACAAGTCCTGTTGGTCCCGGGGAAATACATACCCACACCAAGAACCGTTTAGGAGTATGGATTTTGGCAAACTCAGCGAACAAGAGGCTAAACTAAAAAATAATGCAATCCTGGAATCAAAATAATTTCAAGGTCTATGTTTCAGCACTACTGTATGTTTGTAGGTCATGGTCAATATTTTTCAAAAAATCAGATCGTTTTGAAGTTGTCTCACAAGTGTAGTAACCAATGAAGGCTATGACGTTCGTTGACTGAGGAACGTTAAGATAAGGTTCTATGCTGCGTGTATATAAACATGTGACTGTGTGGTTTGACTAGGGATACTGTTGAGTTTCATAAAATTTCAGGATTGCCGTCTGTTAACGGGGATGCGCGTTTATACGAACCTTAAATTTGACGCAACCGTAAGTTTTTTTGGGGTATTAGAGCTTGCTACATGTCCGACCGTGAAAACTGTGAGAGAGGACTGCGAAAGTCAAGACCGAATAAGGATGGGATTTTGGATTTTTTAGAAGGCGGTCAACAATTGGAATGTCCTTCTTCAGCAAGTGATATGAACTGAATCTGTACACAATTTCGAAGCAAAACTCAATATTCACTAGGAAAAATGCTGAAAACACCAAAACAAGTCAATCGATCCATTTAGTTTTTAAGGAAGGCTATATATTAATTCCTGTCTGTATACATTGTTCAACTACTGTGCATTGAACTTTGTTTAAGTTTGCATTTGCGTGACTTCAGTCGTGGGTGTCGAAATGGGCCGGAGACCTGCTAGATGGTATGTGATTTCTTTTGCTGGTTACAATTTCTAGTTATCGATATTGCAAAAACAAACCTTATCCTAAGTCAAGATTTTGTCGTGGTGTCCCAGACCCAAAGATTAGAATCTTTGATCTGGGCAAGAAAAAAGCAAATGTTGAAGAATTTCCTCTGTGTGTTCATATGATATCAGATGAATACGAACAGCTGTCCAGTGAAGCATTAGAAGCTGCTCGTATTTGTGCAAACAAGTATCTTTTGAAACATTGTGGAAAAGATTCATTTCATGGTCGGATACGCGTCCATCCATTCCATGTGATCCGTATCAATAAAATGCTTTCATGTGCTGGGGCTGATCGGTACTGACTTCTTCATTTTTAACATGTGCTTAGTTTGCAAACAGGTATGAGAGGTGCATTCGGAAAGCCCCAGGGAACGGTTGCACGCGTTGATATTGGCCAAGTTATAATGTCAGTTCGTGCACGTGATCAACATCAAGCTCAAGTTATCGAGGCTCTCAGACGTGCCAAAATGAAATTCCCAGGTCGACAAAAGGTAAGTATTTTAGTGCTGAGTGTGCAGCTCTAGTGTAAACATTTGACCTTAGATGACGTCACCGTCGACTGTCACCACATCCCTATGATCAAAACCTAGTAGACCACCTTAATAAATACTAAAATGCCACGGTAAAACATGGCTTCTCTATAATCGTTTGTGAGTATTGTACTATCATCACCTGAAGGTTTTCGCCATCACCAATTCAATCATTTAGTACTATAGTATTCAGTCCTTACAACTACGGTGTTGACTCAAGCGAATGAATGTGTATACTGTTTCTAGTTGCTCGTGGTTAGTATGTCCTCTAAAAGGCCGTTACACACTACAGAATACTTACAAAATGTATGATGCACATTCCAAGAATCGATGATACGGTCATCGGTTTAGTTCAGTGTGCAATAATGAAGTCAAATAATCAAAGTTCATTTACGTGAACTATGGCCATTTTGATACAAGCTTACCTTTCCAGACTATTGTTAACTCAGGCGAATGGATGTGTATACTGTTTCTAGTTGCTCGTGGTTAGTATGTCCTCTAAAAGGCCGTTACACACTACAGAATACTTAAAAAATGTATGATGCACATTTCAAGGATCGACGAAACTCGTTGGTTTGCTTTAATGTGCAATATTGATATCAAATAGTCAAGTTTATTCACGTAAACTATTATCGTTTTGATACATTTTTGTGGTTCGAGTAAGTTGTAGCTGCCTCTCAAAGTGGTAATAGAGCTTTATCGCTTCAGAATTGATTGTGTGGGCCTTGTTCTAGCACATGCATTTCCATTAAACAGTGTCCGTAGTTCATCCATAAATTTGCTCTCTAAAATCGTAGGCAGATAGTGTACAAACTTGGGTAGCCATTACCGTATTGTTAGTAATTTTCATGTTTTATATGATGCACATTCCAAGAATCGATGATACGGTCATCGGTTTAGTTCAGTGTGCAATAATGAAGTCAAATAATCAAAGTTCATTTACGTGAACTATGGCCATTTTGATACAAGCTTACCTTTCTATACTATTTGGAATTTCTATTTGTATGATGTACGTTCACTGGTTTTTAAACTAACTATAGGGATAAACATTCGCACTTGGGCGTTAATATACGTTCTTTAAGTTTGTTATTTACAAACGAAGTACTAGCCATCTATACCCGATATCGTTCTAACAGTCACCTTATTATTGACAAATTAGGTTTGTGATATGTGTCTAATCCATGACTTTTAACAAATATTTTGTCGCTAATCGAAAGCTTTATGTCCAGGCTTACTTCTGTCATCTAGGTAAACGACCAACTAAAAACTTGATAATAGCAATGTTCACTTTAAGAGATAGATGAGGTGTCGTGAGTGCTGTTGATTGTGACATGCTACAGTTTCATTTTACAGCTGCAACCTACACTTATGTACAGGTTTGGCCATATCAAACTGCTCAACTAAAATACGTGGTCCAATCTACTAATCAAGTCCTTCAAATCCGTAACCCTAGTACTAGGACCTTCCTAGAAGTTAAAGTATAGTCATGTCTAAGTATGTACCTTTCAATCTTTCCACAACAATACCACCATAACTCATAAACATGTCATGCCTCAAGCTCTTTAGTCTCGAGAAACATTCGAATCAAACCCTTACGTATTCCTAACCGTTGTAGGATCAAAAGCCTCGGATTTTTTTATACCATTGTATTCCAAATCATTATGATCTTGAGATCGTGTTAACATAAGTCTTATTATTTGTCTTCTCGATGTGTTTGTATCTAAATCAATAGATAGCCGTGTCACGTAACTGGGGATTCACAAAATGGCCTAGAACTAGTTTTAACGAAATGCGTGCCAAAGGACAACTAGTTTCGGATGGTGTTGGTGTAAAGTATCTTCCTTCTCATGGCCCCTTAGAACAATGGAAACAAACACAGGCACGTCTAGCTGGAATCACTGTATAGAAAAAATTAGACCACAATATATATTTGGTAATAATTCTTGAAATTTTCACTTCTCTTTCGGCTATGTGATTGATTTAGTTGTCTATTAGTGCTATTCATGTGAAAAGCCAAATTATACATCTGAACACTATGACATTAGGGTATTATCTTATCAAATACCGGTTGTTATATAGGGTCAAATAATGATTTTTTTAAATGTTTAAATACATTAATACGTGTACAAAAGAGCAGCAAGTACATATGCGCCACACAAGTTACTGGGTTGTGTGGACTGTGATACAGCCCGGATACCCAAACGGAAGCAGGTGGTCTTAGGGGCCACACCCAGGACCTTCGACCCGAAGGTCTAACCCACAAGGCAGCGAATCATAGTAAGGAGATGCAGTCCCCTGGTAGCCGGTGACCGATAATTGGTTCACACGTCGATTAATCATTCAGGATCTCGGAGCCCATGTGCACCATTGCTTTGAATTTAGGGTTTTACAACCCAACTAGTTGGAGCTTTCGTGTCCACCGACCCTAATAAATCAGCGGATATTCACTTTTCGTGCTCTCAATTCCGTAAGCAACTCCGTCGCCTCTAGAAATAAGTAAATAAGAATTCCGTGACAGTCCCTGTAGCCATGTGAAAGTATTTCGAGAGGAAGAGCTGACACATCACATTCGGCCGTACCAGGCCATTAAAAAATCTTCGAGAATTACTGAGTGTTGTGATCAAAAGACGACCAGAAACTATAAAATGAGAAAACGTGACATGAAAGTTTAACGTAAACTGGATTCAAAATGAAGCCTTGAAATTACAGGCTAATAATTCAAAAAATTATTCAAAATCACATAACTTCCAAAATCCAAAATGTCAATCAGTAGCTGACTTGGTGTGAATAGAGTCAGTTAAACCGTTTAATGTTGGATCGATCTGTTCTGGGATGTGTAGTGAAATGGGATAATTTATTTTGCTGACAACATAGTTGTGTGTGATGAATGATGAATAATAATAATAAGATGATGATGGTGATGATGATGATCATCGTGACCAGCACCCATTCAATGTGACGTGATTGACTGGGCTCCGAACGATGGCAAATTGAAGTTGCGAATGTAGACGGTAATGTGATTTCGCGACAGTATCAAAATCGTCCGTTGGACATATGTGAATATGATCGTGTGTTGTATGCCGAAGTATTGACGACAATGTGTGTATGAGTGTTTGTTGGGTGTGGGGTTTGTGATGTTGGTAACAAGAGAGAGTAAGTTTGTGGTGACTTTGCAATGGTTTATTGGTGTTGTTAATGTTTTGTAGAGGGAGAGAGTTGGCGACGTGAGATTTGTTTGTTGTCCGATAATTAGAAGTATAAGTAGTGATGGAAGTGATTGTGGTGAGAATAACTGTGGTTGCTTGTTGTTGTTAAGCATCATAAAGTGCTCTTCCCGATGGTGAGGGTTCTGAGCTCCAGAGTGATGCGAAATTGGAATGGCGAAGTGACTATGGATAGTGTTTATTTTGCCAGAGAGTAATGTGCGAGTTGTTTGTGGAGCTGATGTATGTGTGAGTCGTTTTGATGGTGTTGGGACGTGGAGTGGTGTGATGGCTAACATGCGTGTCTTTTTCAATGCTGACCAGCATTTAGCTGAATCGCACTGACCTGCCCCTATGAACAACTGACCGGTAAGTGAATGGAGTGTATTGATTGATGTAGTGTGTTTTGTGTGGATGGAGATTGAGTTACTAGGTAGTGTGTGTATCGTGAGATGGTTTGTGTGAATTGTTAGTTGTTGGTGTTAGGAATGGATAATGTGACGGCGGCGGTTAGTGTGGTGTCATTTAATGCTGTTGTGAAAGTGTGTCTTGTTTGACGGGATGTGGTTATGGAGGGTATTGTTAGTGTGTTGTTGTTGTCGTTTTTGTTTAAAGAGTGACTGAGTGTTGGAGTATGTGTGTGATTGAGGTGTATCGTGGAGTGGATGCCGAGTTGTATTTGGTGATGTTTAGCACCAAGTATGCTTAAGGCATCCTAAATTGAGGCTAGTGCACCAACTACTGTACATGACGTGCTGTAGTATTTCACACTAGGTACATGCGTGGATGTTTGTATACGTGAAGAAATTGTGTTTGATGTTGAGCTATGTTGTGTTGTATGAATTAGTTGAGAGTGTTGAAGATGAGGTGATGATTGGTAGTTTGATTTGTGTTAACTTTGTTGTTGTTGTTGGTGGTGTTGAAGTTGATGATTACTGTGTAGTGTGTGTATGTATATATATGATGGATGGAAGAGTGAGTAAGGTGATGGTTGATTGTGGATGTGGTCGCTTGCAAATCTGTGTTCAGGTTTGCTTTGAAGCACATCCGAGATTGAGAGATGCATGCGATGTACTGGCTGTTTCCGATGCAATTGAAACAGGCAACAGGATCCATGCGAAATTTGTGATAATGTGTGTGCATGTACTTACTTAGATATGAGTTAGAATAATTGTTGGAGTAGATGCTTGTGTGGTTGTTGACGTTTTGGATTGTTGTGGTTGATCGTGTTGAGTGATGGTACTGCTGGTCGTAGTAGTTGTGATAATGATGATGATGACGAAGAAGAAGAAGAAGCTGAAGACGATAGGAGTTGTGCAGTGGAAATATATTGTGTGTTGTTGGAGTGATTTTTCGACGGTGAGTGGTGTGCAATGTTGGTTTGAGTGAGGCGGACTTTCTTGTGTGTGGGTGCAAGTGTTGTTGATTTATTTTATGTGTGGAGAGTGTGTTGATGTGATTGTTTGTGATGGTGGTGGTAATGTTGGCATTTCTGTGTAGAGATGAAGCAGTTCGTATATGCTTTAGTCTCAAGGGCGAAATGCGAAATCGAATCGCGCGTTGCTCATCAGGTCTGGATGATTCCGGGTTTTGGGCACGGGCGAGAAATACAGTGTTCGTACGTAGTGACTTAGTGAGTGATGGGATGAATGTGTGTGATTGGGATTTGCCGGTTACTTTTGGATTACGGTTGTAGATGTGTGCGATTGTGATTGAAGAACGAGGAGAACAGGTGTGTGCATGGCAGATGAGGTGAAGTGAGGTGGGGTTGTGTTTTTCTATGTGAAGTAGCTGACTTGGTGTGAATAGAGTCAGTTAAACCGTTTAATGTTGGATCGATCTGTTCTGGGATGTGTAGTGAAATGGGATAATTTATTTTGCTGACAACATAGTTGTTGGTGTTGTGTGTGATGAATGATGAATAATAATAATAAGATGATGATGGTGATGATGATGATCATCGTGACCAGCACCCATTCAATGTGACGTGATTGACTGGGCTCCGAACGATGGCAAATTGAAGTTGCGAATGTAGACGGTAATGTGATTTCGCGACAGTATCAAAATCGTCCGTTGGACATATGTGAATATGATCGTGTGTTGTATGCCGAAGTATTGACGACAATGTGTGTATGAGTGTTTGTTGGGTGTGGGGTTTGTGATGTTGGTAACAAGAGAGAGTAAGTTTGTGGTGACTTTGCAATGGTTTATTGGTGTTGTTAATGTTTTGTAGAGGGAGAGAGTTGGCGACGTGAGATTTGTTTGTTGTCCGATAATTAGAAGTATAAGTAGTGATGGAAGTGATTGTGGTGAGAATAACTGTGGTTGCTTGTTGTTGTTAAGCATCATAAAGTGCTCTTCCCGATGGTGAGGGTTCTGAGCTCCAGAGTGATGCGAAATTGGAATGGCGAAGTGACTATGGATAGTGTTTATTTTGCCAGAGAGTAATGTGCGAGTTGTTTGTGGAGCTGATGTATGTGTGAGTCGTTTTGATGGTGTTGGGACGTGGAGTGGTGTGATGGCTAACATGCGTGTCTTTTTCAATGCTGACCAGCATTTAGCTGAATCGCACTGACCTGCCCCTATGAACAACTGACCGGTAAGTGAATGGAGTGTATTGATTGATGTAGTGTGTTTTGTGTGGATGGAGATTGAGTTACTAGGTAGTGTGTGTATCGTGAGATGGTTTGTGTGAATTGTTAGTTGTTGGTGTTAGGAATGGATAATGTGACGGCGGCGGTTAGTGTGGTGTCATTTAATGCTGTTGTGAAAGTGTGTCTTGTTTGACGGGATGTGGTTATGGAGGGTATTGTTAGTGTGTTGTTGTTGTCGTTTTTGTTTAAAGAGTGACTGAGTGTTGGAGTATGTGTGTGATTGAGGTGTATCGTGGAGTGGATGCCGAGTTGTATTTGGTGATGTTTAGCACCAAGTATGCTTAAGGCATCCTAAATTGAGGCTAGTGCACCAACTACTGTACATGACGTGCTGTAGTATTTCACACTAGGTACATGCGTGGATGTTTGTATACGTGAAGAAATTGTGTTTGATGTTGAGCTATGTTGTGTTGTATGAATTAGTTGAGAGTGTTGAAGATGAGGTGATGATTGGTAGTTTGATTTGTGTTAACTTTGTTGTTGTTGTTGGTGGTGTTGAAGTTGATGATTACTGTGTAGTGTGTGTATGTATATATATGATGGATGGAAGAGTGAGTAAGGTGATGGTTGATTGTGGATGTGGTCGCTTGCAAATCTGTGTTCAGGTTTGCTTTGAAGCACATCCGAGATTGAGAGATGCATGCGATGTACTGGCTGTTTCCGATGCAATTGAAACAGGCAACAGGATCCATGCGAAATTTGTGATAATGTGTGTGCATGTACTTACTTAGATATGAGTTAGAATAATTGTTGGAGTAGATGCTTGTGTGGTTGTTGACGTTTTGGATTGTTGTGGTTGATCGTGTTGAGTGATGGTACTGCTGGTCGTAGTAGTTGTGATAATGATGATGATGACGAAGAAGAAGAAGAAGCTGAAGACGATAGGAGTTGTGCAGTGGAAATATATTGTGTGTTGTTGGAGTGATTTTTCGACGGTGAGTGGTGTGCAATGTTGGTTTGAGTGAGGCGGACTTTCTTGTGTGTGGGTGCAAGTGTTGTTGATTTATTTTATGTGTGGAGAGTGTGTTGATGTGATTGTTTGTGATGGTGGTGGTAATGTTGGCATTTCTGTGTAGAGATGAA